TTTTTTTTTTAATTTTTTTCTTTTGGAAGTAAGTTCTGAATCGCTAACCTGGGCGCATCCTTCATCCTTCTCCAAGCTACCTGCCAAGTCAGAGAAAAGGGGATTTAGCTTCCTACGCGCAGTGAACCTTATCCCCACACCTCAGTCCAGCCAATATAGAAAAGTGAAACAGTCTGAAACTAAAAACAAACAAACAAACAAAAAAAACCCAACCAAAAAAAAAAACAAAACAAAAACCCCACGAGAAGAAAGTCACACTGTGCTTAGTCTTTGGTTTCCAAGTTCAAAGGAGGAATCTGCTTCAAAGCTTGAAGCAGAGCCGAGGAGTCGATAGGGGAATGGGCCGGTATGGGAGAAGGGAGTCTCTGGGGCATCAGCAGAGGCGGGGAGATTTTATCGGGGTTCATGAACCCCGTAAGTGCTGCGGCAGAGGCTGGGAGGCTGGGGTACAGGACGGGTACGGACGCCGGGTACCAGCACTTCTCCAGCATGGGCAGATAGGCTGTTGCGGACGGCGGGATCAAATAGAAAGGCAGGCACAAGGGAGGCTGGTGGGCGTGGGGGCCCAGGAAGCTGCTGGACGAGCCCATCACGTCGCTGCCAAAAGGGCCCTCGTCCTCCGGCGACTCCAGCCTGCTCCTCTTGGCCGGCGGGTCCTCAGTCTCTTGCTTAATAGAGCTTATTCTCTCCTGGACCGCGTACTTGAGTTCGGTATCCTTTTTGAAATACTGCTGTTCGGATTTGGAGTCACTTTTCTCCAGCTCTCCCCCGTACCCGCTGTCCGTGTCTGTGTCGCTGCCGCTCTGCTCCCCGCTGGAGTGAGCAAATGTCCTCTGGATCACAGGCACGCAGTTTTTCCCGTGTCCCTCGGCCGCTTTGCTCAGGGACACAGGTTTCTCTTTCAAGTCCACCATTTTAGGAGGGATGTCCCCAGACTTGCGGCCGGCTCCGCCCTGGAGCACCTCGGAGGCCATTCGGTGCAGATGGCTGACCAGCTGGGACGACTTCAGGTCCTTGCCGTTCTCGTGCTTTGCCAGGTATTGCAGCATTTCCTTGGCACACATCTGGAAACCGGATCGAAACATTTCCTGGCTGGAATCAAGGTTTCTTGATGACAGGTCACCTGAGGAAACATTAACAGAAGGAAATTAAAAATTAACAACGTGCTAAATAGTTCCATTCCCATCTTCGAGGCGGACCGGAGGCGATCTTGAACTTGGGTTACAGCACAGCTAGAGGGGTGAACCTGGGGGTCAGCCCGAGCTCTGCACCCCCCCCACCTCTGTACGTTTTTAACGAACACCCGTCTGTCCGCTCTCACACAACTTTCATTTTACTTCTGCATTTACTGTATATGCCGCCGTCAACAGGTGCCGAAGCGCGGAGCGAAGGCGTGGGTCGAGCTGGTGCCTTCCCTGGGGAACAGCCCGGGAAAGGCAGATTGCACCTCGCCCTGCACCGCCAGGCAGGGAGCTCCCGGAGCACGCCCGCGGCTCCGCCAACCTCGGGCGATTCTGCTTCAGCTTCAAGCTCTATTGCACTCCCTGTGGCTGCCAGAGCAGTGGAAGGCTGCTCAGAAAAAACTAAATTTTACTTTATCAGATTCACGTGAGTGCCACATGTGAAAACAGGAGGAGGAAGTGCATCTAAAGCATGATAAGCTGATACACCGGGTGCCCTCTTCGCCTGCAGAACACAGGCTAGCTTGTCTACAGGGAGACCTGAAGAAGGTGTCCCTAAAAAGCGGATTTAGATGTATTTTCAGGGCAAAAACCAACCACCAAACAAACGAAACTGGGTTCGATCCAAAGCTCATGAACGCAAAGGGAAAGATTCGAATGGCTTTGGAGGGAACCTCACAGCAAATCTGGGCTTTAAAGAAAACTACTTAAAATCCAACTTCATTTCAAAACAACTCCACGGGGCGCTCCACAGGGACCATACCGAGAAATGCACCTTTTTTTGCAACAGCTCGTCAGCAAAGCCAGAGAGAACGACGGCGATTAAAGGCAAGAAGTCCTGCCTCCTCCCTCCTCGGGATCAGTGTCACAACCGCCTCCCAACGACTCCCAGAGAAAGTCCGTCAGGCGCGCGCACGCAGGTTCTCGCACGACGCGATCTCAACACTCACCCGCTTGCAAACCATTCTGCAAAGCAATTATTTTCTGCTGCTGCTGCTCAATGAGATTGGTTAGCGCTTTCACATGCTTCAAGGTGAGCTCGAGCACCACGGCCTTCTCCAAGTGACCTAGAGTCTGAAAGCAAAGGGACAGGTTGGCGTCTGCCCTGGGGTCGGCCACGCACGCAGGAGCCCGATGGGGCTGCCAACATTTTCCCAACGACAGAGGAAGGACCGATGCCGTTTCGGGAAAAGGCTTAAGGGCAGAGCCCGGATCCCAAACAGTACGGGGCTACTGAGGACAGCACGCCACGAAAATGAGTTAAAAGCAGGCTCCAGGAAAGGCTATCACGGAATCCTACGGGTATTTTCCGACCAGCCGCATAGCTCAAAGAGTATTTTATTGATCTGTTCTGCTGCCCCTGCTGGCACCGTGACCTTAGCACGGGGGAATCCGGCCGGGCG